AGGCGCGTGAGTGATCGAACGAACGCGGACAAAAAGCGCGCGGAGAAGTCGTGGGGCTCGGAGCGGCGGTTGCGGCGCGACGCTTTGCGTTCGAGCGCGGCGGGTAAAGAAAACGAGTCTATGGCGGCTGACGGCGCACGCCGCATCCGTCGAATGGCGAGTTGTTGCTTACAAGCAAGGGGGCAAGTTCGATAATAAAACACAGAGAACATAAATATAAATACATAGATGAGGTCGAAAAGACAATAATACAAAATTAATAATACAAAACAATTTAAATAATTCGAATACAAATAATGGCGCGTGAGTGCGCGAACGAACGCGGGACAAAAAGCACGCGGAGAAGTCGCGGGGCTCGGAGCGGCGGTTGCGGCGCGACGCTTTGCGTTCGAGCGCGGCGCGTAAAGAAAACGAGTCCACGGCGGCCGACAGCGCAGGCCGCATCCGTCGAATGGCGAGTTGTTGCTTACAAGCGAGGCGGGGGCAAGTTCGACAATAAAACACAGAGAACATAAATATAAATGCATCGTGCACCTTCAAAAATCAAAAATAAACCCAGGAAACTTGTAGTAGAGTTGAGCACTCGTCAATGCAGTAGCATCACCATAAGCAACTCGAGAAAGACTAAACCGAAAGGAATTATGTTTAACGAAAAATGGGGCATGGAACCAATTTATGTAAATAATTATCTTACTTTTTTTAATAGAAACCTGCTCTTTAAAACTAAGACTTTTGCTCGCGAAACCGGATATAAATTTGTTTGGTTTAAGGACTCGAAAATATTTATAAAAAAAAATGAAGACCAAAAAGCAATTCTAATCGAAAACGAAAGCTCCTTAAGCAACTTAAATTAGATCTCCTTTAATTTCTACTTCGATCTTGTATATATGTTTTTAATTTAATTATCATGGATATATTTAATAATGTGATTGATAGTATTAAATATAGAACTAATTATTTTGAGTCGTTCTCTGAATATAATTCATATTTAAATAACAATAATGAATCTCTATTAAATATCATATGTTTTAACATAAGAAGTGTGAATGCGCATTTTGACGAGCTGCTTTTATTTTTAGAAAATGATGTAAATAATAAGAAAATTGATATTATAGTTTTAACTGAGACGTGGCATAATTCACTGTTTTGTCACTATATGATACCTGGTTACAGTATATTATTCTCTAGTACAAGAAGAAACCAAAATGATGGTATAATAATTTTTGTGAAAAATCATCTAAATGCGGATTTCTATGACTATGACTTTTTAGAATATAATATTGTAAAACTATCGCTGATAATCAACAATGTGCCTATAACTATTGTATGTATATACAGATCGCCCTCATCTGACTCTATAGGTTTCATTAATTCATTAAAATATGTTTTCAATAATTTAAATTTGAATTCTGGTATAATTACCTTAATTGGGGACATGAATATAAACATAATTGGTGCACAAACAGTTAATAATTATGATTACCTAGACCTTTTATCAGAAACTGGTTTCTATTCTTTTATAAATGTATTTACAAGATTACCACTAGGTCAACAACATTCGTGTTTAGATCACGTGTTCATTAAAGACAATAATAATTCACTCGGGAATATTAACGCGGGTGTTCTACTAACTGATATAACTGACCATTGTTCAATTGTTGTTACAATTCCTATACCTGTTAAAATTAAAAACATTATCAATACTATCAATGTCATAAACTATGATAAACTTAAACAAATGTTGTATAATGAAAAATGGACTAAGATATATGAATCTAACTCTGTAGATGTATGCACAACAAATTTCCAAAATACAATTATGAATGCCATAAAAAAATCCTTAACAACAAAAAACATAAACTCTAAAAATAAAATATTGAAAGAATGGATGACCAAGGGTCTGTTATGCTCAGTTCGTCAAAAACAATATATTTCAATGAAGTGCAAAAAAAACCCAAATAATGTAAGTCTTGCGTCATACTATAAAAAATATAAAAATACATTCACTAAACTTTTGAGGATTGCCAAAATTAAATTTTATGAAGACAAATTTAGCAAAGTGTCGTATAACCCAAAATTAACCTGGAAACTAATCAATGAGATCACGGGTAGCAATCCAAAAAATAATGATAAAATCAAATCTGTTATAGTGAACGACAAAATATTGAATATAGATGATAATCCTAAAGAAGTGTCAAATGTGTTTAATAACTATTTTACAGACGTTGGTAAAAATTTAGCAAAAAACTTCAATAAAACTCACAATCTGGTATTAAATAAATCCAACGATAATATATTATGTTCCTTTGATAAGATTTTTCTAGAAAAAATTGATGTATCAGAATTAAGAATAATTATTCAAAACTTTAAAGATGACACTTCTGCCGGTTATGATAATATAACAGTTAAAATTTTTAAAAGTATTTCTGAATTAATTATTACTCCACTAGTCTATATTTTCAATTTGAGTCTAGAAAATAGTATTTTCCCTGATAAGTTTAAATTTGCAATTATTAAGCCTCTATTCAAGAGCGGCGACCGTAAAACTATAAGTAACTACAGACCTATATCTATGTTAACAAATTTCTCCAAAATATTTGAGAAAATAATTAAAACAAGGCTGTTATCTTACCTTGAGAAAAACAATTTATTATCTAAAAGCCAATACGGTTTTCGACCAGGACTAAGCACTGAAAATGCCTTATATAATGCCACTCAATTTATGTATGACTCTCTAGATAAAGGTTTAAAAACAATTGCCATTTTCATTGACTTAGCAAAGGCCTTCGATACTATTCAACATGATATCTTATTAAGAATTCTACAAAATTTTGGAATTAATAATAAAAGTCTCCTCTGGTTTAAGAGCTACCTTTCTAACAGACAACAAATGGTGAAAATAAATGATGCAATAAGCAACACAAACTATATCGAATATGGTGTCCCACAGGGTAGTGTTCTAGGTCCCATTTTGTTCATACTATACATTAATGCAGTTTGTGATTTAAACATTGATGGCAAAATAGTGACCTACGCAGATGATACCTGTCTGTTATTCTCGGATAAATGCTGGGAAGGGGTGTACCTCAAAGCAACGAAAGGTCTACATTTAACATACGAATGCATAAGTGAACTAGGCTTAACTATAAACTCAGACAAAACTACGTACATGAAGTTTTCAATAAATAAGATTACCGATGACAACTTTCCTCTAATAATTCACAATTGCCAAAATCAATTGATATGCAATATGCAAAACTGTAAGCAAATTAATCAAGTTTCAAAAATTCGCTATCTGGGTATTATTTTCGACAATAATTTGAGATGGAACTTACATATCCATAATTTAGTAGGGAAACTGCGATACTCACTGCACAAATTCATTTTACTTAAAGAGATCTTACCAGTAGAAACTTTACGTACAATTTATTTTGCATTCTATCAATCCATCTGTCAATATGGCATTTTGGTATGGGGAGGTGCAAAAGAAAATGTTTTAAAAATTCTTCAAACCAATCAAAATAATATATTAAGAATAATACTAAATAGAAAATCTCTAGTAGGCTCTACAAAAGTGAATTCATAAAATTAGGCGTTCTTCCAATATGGTACCTATACAAGAAGTATGCAATTTTATTTACAATAAAAAAATTTACTAATCTCAATAATAATAACAGACAATTAAGAGATCATATAGCCTATAATCTGCCAGTAACATATTCGAAAAAATCTTTTGGTCAATCTTTTATTGATTATTTAGGTCCTACATATTTTAATCAGATGCTGACTATACACAAAAAAAATATTCATGGAGGTCTAGTTAATGAGAAAAAAGTCGTCTATAAATGGCTATTCTCAGAATTAATTACTCCTTGAATAAGAGTTCGTGTTGCGGCCGAGTACGAACAATAATTAGCCCGTGCGCTCGGTACCTATTTACTTCGTGCGCCGTTACACCACTACTCACCGACCGACCTGTGTGTTGTGTGTGTATATGTGTTTTAGCACTCAACAGGAATTGGACAGGTTCGCCGAGCAAAAACTGTGAGTGCTGGAATGTAGGTGGGGTGTGTAGGTGTGTATGTAGGTGTGGGTGTAGACTTAACAATAATTAAAGACAAGGTAACTCATGAAAAAATGGTAACAATTGGTTGCTGGTAACTAACTAGTTGCTGTATAATACAAAATTTAAATAATACACAAAATAAAATATAATTCACAGCAACCGCAAGGTAAAAATGATCTAACAATAATATGTGGCCCTTCTGGCCCAACAGAGTATAATAATAAATAATAAAAAATAAAAACTCACAATTTGGGCGGTGCACGGCTGGCCAGCTGCACCTATCCTATAATAATAACAAATATAATAATCGCTCGCGGAGATCGGCTCCAACTTAAAAAAAAATACAGATACAATCCGTAGCGATTAGCGCACACGTTACAACAATAGGTAGTAGTATAACCGGCAATATAAAAAATACAATTTTCTAGCGATTCGCGCTCACAAAAACAATAATAGTGGTCGCGGCACTTGACGCAAACGAAACAATAACGTTTTTGGTTACGCGATTTGCGGTTTGCAAATAATTTATTTTTCGGTGATTCGCACCTTACAACTCACAATAATACCTAACAAGTGGCGATTAGCGCCCTCAGAAGGTATAACAATTTACGGCTATTTGAGCCAAAAAAGTATAAAATAAAATTTACGGACGATATGCGCCTGCGAACAATCAATATATCGCATTGGCAGTTTGTAGCGAACTGGTGGGATAGGCGGCCGTGCTCTTATAACAATAATAAACACGTAGCCGGCGCGACGATAATTTACATATTATAAATAATTCACAGCTGATACGGACAATTAAAAACAGAAATAAAAACAATAATATAAATATATAGGGACAAGCAGGTAATAGGTATGTGATTGCATGTGTGTGTGTGAGTCGGGCGAATTATCTGGTGATATGGCGGCGACATCCTCCCCCCGTTGAAAATTATAAAGTTTCAACTTCTTGTTCTAGTGGGAGCCGACACAATTTACCGACAGGTCTTTGCATTTCAGCTCCAGTAGTGGTACGTAGGGTCACTACACGAATGATACCATCGCCTCCGGGATGTACCTTGGTTACTCTTCCCAACTTCCATTTGGTCGGTGGAGTACAATCTTCTTTTATTATTACCACGTAATTTATGGATATTTCCCTTTTTGAGCTCAACCACCGTCCTCTAACTTGAAGTTGCGGCAAATACTCACTATACCATCTTCTCCAAAACATCTGCATTAGGCCTTGTACAAATTTCCAACGCTTCAAGTGTGCTACTTCATTTTGTGTTATCTGTGGTTCGGCTGGTAATAGTAGTGGACCCCCCACTAGGAAGTGGGCTGGTGTCAGGGCGTTTGGTTCACATGGGTCGCTATTCAATGGAGTCATAGGCCGAGAATTGACACACGCTTCGATTTGGCATAGTAGAGTTTGTAGCTCTTCGAGATTGAGCCGGGTGTCCTTGACGACACGAACTAAATGCGTTTTTACGCTTTTTACGGCGCTCTCCCATAAGCCACCGAAATGAGGGGCTGATGGTGGGTTGAAATGCCATTCTACTCCTTCCCGTGCCATGAGATCTTCAGTGTTCTTCACATAGTTGGACAACTCCTTTTGTGCGCCCACGAAATTTGTTCCGTTATCACTGTATATCTTCTTACATTTCCCACGTCTGGACATGAAGCGTCGCAATGATGCCATGAATGCGTCGCTTGTGAGCCCAACTACCGCCTCTAGGTGAATTGCTCTGGTTGCAAAGCATACAAACACTGCTATCCAAGTTTTTATCGCTGTTACTCTACGTATGCCACTTCGGATGAGTAAGGGTCCTGCGAAATCAACACCTGTTATTGTGAATGGTCTTGAAAATTGCACTCGATTCTTGGGCAAGGGTGCCATTACTGGGTTCTCGAATTGTGGCCTTGATCGAATACAGGTGACGCAGCGAGATGTCACCGACCGTGCCATTACTCTACCTCGTAGTGGCCAATAACGTTGCCGGACAGCGGCCAAGAGAGCCTGTGGGCCACAGTGATGCATGGCTCTATGTTGCTCCTCAAAGATTAGTCTTGTTACTTTGTGCCTTGAAGGTAATACTATTGGGTGCTTTTGGGTCTCAGCAATATCGGAATTCCCAAGTCGCCCTCCAACCAAAATTACTCCATCTTCACTAATAAACGGACACAAGGCTCTCAGAACGCTTCTTTTCTGAATTGACTTTCCTGCTAGGAGGTTCATGAGGTCTATTCCAAACTCGTCGGCTTGCGCTCCCTTTATTAGTCTACGTTCTGCTAAACGGATATTTGATACTGTAAGGTACCGTGGCAAACTGCTTCCTGTCTTCTTGGCTCGCTTAAACTCTATGAATTTTCCTAACCAAGCGATTGCGCGGACAAGCTTAATCCAATCTGAGTATAAAGGTAGCAAATCGCTGGTTATGTTGGTCGTTATTAATGCAAGTCGAATTGGTCTTATCTCTGGCAGGTCTTCTTCTTTAACAATTGATTCAGGTTCGGATTTCCAATTGTGTCCCTCTGTTACCAGCCAACTAGGTCCATTCCACCACTTAGCGCAAGATAATATTTCTGTCGGCCTTAATCCTCTTGATGCCACATCGGCTGGATTATCCTCGCTCCTAACATGGTGCCATTGTTTTTGGTCGGTAAGCTCTAGAATTTGATTGATTCGATTGGATACAAACGTTTTTAACCGTGTGGTTTGACTATTCAGCCACCCTAATACTATTGATGAGTCTGTCCACAGTTGGAATGTACATAGTTCCACAGACCATGACTCGGCAACCTTGTTTGCTAATTCGACTAGCAGCAATGCTCCACTTAATTCTAGCCGGGGTATGGTCAATTCCTTCAGAGGTGCCACTCTTGTCCTTGCACAAAGAAGCTGAGAATTCCACCTTCCTTGATTATCTCTCGTCCTGATATAGATGCAAGCCCCATATGCCTCCTGGGAGGCATCGCAAAACCCATGTATTTCGGGAGGATGATTCGACAACGGTTTCACCTTCCTTGGAATGGATAAATATTTGAGATCCTGCAATTCACGGATGAATGATTTCCACCTTCCTTGAATGTCAGAAGAAAGTTGCGTATCCCAATCTAATTTCATCGACCATATTTGCTGTAAAAACATTTTTCCTCTTAGTAAAACAGCGCATAAGAATCCAAGTGGATCAAACACACGATTCAAATCCGATAGCAATGTTCTCTTTGTGCACTTGTTTAACGACGGGTCTATAGAGATGTTGAAGTGAAACTGATCTGCTAACGGTTTCCAACCTAACCCCAGAGACTTCACCGTATTTCCATCTTTAATTTCTAAGGTAAAAAGTGGATCGTCCTCGACCTTGTCTATATTCTCTAACACCCTTACAGAATTTGAACACCATTTTCGCAGTCTGAGTTTGGCGGAGTTCAAAATATCACTTATTTCTTGTTGTAGCTTCAAACATTCCTCTTCTGTATCAGCCCCTGACATGAGGTCATCCATGTAAAAATCTCTTCTAATTATCCGAGCTGCATTAGGGTAAAGCTCCTTTACATTTTCTGCCAAGGCTACTAGGCACTGAGTTGCAAGAAATGAGGCCGATGTAGTCCCATAAGTTACAGTTGTGAGTCGAAATGTGCGCAAAGGATCACTGGGTTTGGCTCTCCATACAATGCGCTGGAGATCCCAATCCGTTTTTGCAACTGCTACCTGTCGAAACATTTTTTCGATGTCTGATGTCAACACGTATTGATGCTTCCTGAATCTGGCTAATATGGAGAAGACATCCTCTTGGACATTTGGTCCACACATCAACACATCATTGAGCGCGACACCAGTCGAACTCTTCGCAGACGCATCGAATACAACGCGGACCTTGGTGGTTAGGCTTGATTCCTTTATCACGGCATGGTGAGGTAGGTAGGACGATCGCTTAGGTATTTGGTCTTCATCAATTACCTCTTCCATGTGCCCAAGGTCAAGGTATTCCTCCATGAATCTAGTGTATTCCTTCTGGAGCTTCTCATCCCGCAGTAGTCTCCTTTCTACGCTTATGAAGCGAGTGGTTGCGAGCTTCAACGTGTCACCGAGCTCTTCTACTAAGGGTTTCAATGGTAATCTTACAATGAAGCGACCGTCCGTCCCTCTCTTTGTGTTCTCCTTGAAATGCTCAACGGTCTGCTTCTCTTCCAATAGTTTTAGATTTATCTTTGAATGTCGTCCGTACAAATTATCTTCTTTATCCTTCAACGCTCTCCAGTCCTCTTCTAACAACTGCCCCATCGATGCGATGCTCGGGAGTGAAATGACGCCAATTTCACCCGTCACTATCCATCCGAATTTGCTACCTTGCAGACACAATGTATCCACTCCTAAATGAACTCGTTTTGGGTCCAAAAGATCAAAAAACGAGCCTCCTCCAATGAGCAAGTCTATTGACCCTGCCTCAAAGAACGCCGGGTCCGCCAAACCGTTGGCTAGATCTTCTGGTATATTCCAACCATCCACTGGGGAGGTTACTGCGGGTAGTGAGTTTACGATGACGGGTAATATGTAGCAAGATATATTTATGCTGAAATTTGACACTCTTGACTTCAATTGTACTTCCACACACGATCTCGATTGTACATGACTTGCTCCAATACCGTTTATTGGTAGAATTGAATGCCTTGTCGGCAATTGTAGCTTGTTGTACAGACCTTTGGATATGAAATTCACCTGGGACCCACTGTCCAATATAGTTCGAAATTGGCGGGAATTTCCAAATTTATCGGTTGCTAACACAATCGCGGTCGATAGAAACACATGACTTTTATTGTGATTTATTAATAATGACACTTGATCTGCATTAGCAACTTCTTCGGCATCACTTTCGGCTTCGTTCTCCTGAGGAACGGTAGCTGCAGCTGAAGCGTCCCGAACATTACTTTCAAAGTGTAGTAACGTATTATGATGTCTTCTACATTTTTGACAAGAATACTTAGAACGACACGCATCCGACATGTGAAATGGTGCCAGACAATTAAAACACAAACGTCTCCCACGTACATGATTAAAACGATCTGACACTGATAGTTCCTTAAACTTTGAACAGGCATATAGTTTATGTGATCCTTCACACAGACTACACTTGTCACGATTCGATTCTGATGACGCCGCTAAGGTTATTCTTTTGCTAGTGCCCCCTTGGCTGGTCCTTTTTGATGAGTGGTTGTTTTCACTTAACCTAATTGATAATGCTTCCGAGCTTTCAAAAGCGATACTGCGACTTGCCAAAAATGCCATCACGTCCTTATATATTTGGGTAACTCTGTAGTCGTTTGTCGGAGCTGCCATTCATGACTGGACGCTCCGTCCATTCTTTCCACAAAAATAGTTACCAGCCATGCGTCCCAATGTTCAATAGGCATTCTCAATGCCTCTAGTGCTGCCAAGTGTGCAGTGATATGTGATTGTAGCCTTGATAATTCTTGAGCTGAGGCAGACTGTATTCGAGGACTATTCATAATCTCCCGAATATGTGTTTGAATTACTAAACCTTTGTTATCGTACCGCTGCTGAAGCTTTTGTATTGCTAATCCATAATTCGCGTCCGTCATCGGTAGAGGCTTTACCAAGTCCAGTGCTTGTCCACTTAATGTTGAACGAAGGTAGTGAAATTTATGAGCCGGCGGATAGTCTTGGTCGTGCACCATCACCTTGAAGCTGTCGAAGAAAGCTTCCCATTCTTGTATATTTCCGTTGAACTTCGGTAAGTCGATCGGAGCTAGACGTGCTCGTGGGTACGGCGCTGATGAATCAAGTGAGGCCTCGTCACCCGATGCATTGCGACGTTTGTTTTTATTTATAATTTCTTGAATTTGTGAACGTGCGGCGAAATAATTTTTTTCAAATTCTTCTCTTTCCCTTTCTTCTTCCAAAGCCTCATCAGTGTTGAGCAATTCTATCTCAACTTGCACGTCATCAAATTTCCTATTAATTTGGGGCAACTCTTCTTGCCTAAACTCTAGTAGGGATACCGCCTCAACCTTTGCATCAAAATTTCCGATAAATTTTAGCGTTCGCGTGAGTGCGGCCTTCACAACACCCCGCTTACGTTTGAGTTCAGATAGCACCTTCAGTGCTTCTGCATCTAACGCCATTGCTACCTTTATTGTAGTAGTTTATAAAAAGAGATAATACTAATTCAATTCCAAATCTTTTTTATTATAAAATTATAAATGCACGCAAAGTACAACTACGTAGGGACGAAACAATACAATAAAAATTCAACTTTAGAAATAATTGGATCGAATTTTATGTATAATGTAATGCACCACGTATATCATGAGATTGCGATACCAATAATAATAATAAATAATCGCGATACCGCCGCCGTATCACGTCGAGGTCACCAATGTTGCGGCCGAGTACGAACAATAATTAGCCCGTGCGCTCGGTACCTATTTACTTCGTGCGCCGTTACACCACTACTCACCGACCGACCTGTGTGTTGTGTGTGTATATGTGTTTTAGCACTCAACAGGAATTGGACAGGTTCGCCGAGCAAAAACTGTGAGTGCTGGAATGTAGGTGGGGTGTGTAGGTGTGTATGTAGGTGTGGGTGTAGACTTAACAATAATTAAAGACAAGGTAACTCATGAAAAAATGGTAACAATTGGTTGCTGGTAACTAACTAGTTGCTGTATAATACAAAATTTAAATAATACACAAAATAAAATATAATTCACAGCAACCGCAAGGTAAAAATGATCTAACAATAATATGTGGCCCTTCTGGCCCAACAGAGTATAATAATAAATAATAAAAAATAAAAACTCACAATTTGGGCGGTGCACGGCTGGCCAGCTGCACCTATCCTATAATAATAACAAATATAATAATCGCTCGCGGAGATCGGCTCCAACTTAAAAAAAAATACAGATACAATCCGTAGCGATTAGCGCACACGTTACAACAATAGGTAGTAGTATAACCGGCAATATAAAAAATACAATTTTCTAGCGATTCGCGCTCACAAAAACAATAATAGTGGTCGCGGCACTTGACGCAAACGAAACAATAACGTTTTTGGTTACGCGATTTGCGGTTTGCAAATAATTTATTTTTCGGTGATTCGCACCTTACAACTCACAATAATACCTAACAAGTGGCGATTAGCGCCCTCAGAAGGTATAACAATTTACGGCTATTTGAGCCAAAAAAGTATAAAATAAAATTTACGGACGATATGCGCCTGCGAACAATCAATATATCGCATTGGCCGTTTGTAGCGAACTGGTGGGATAGGCGGCCGTGCTCTTATAACAATAATAAACACGTAGCCGGCGCGACGATAATTTACATATTATAAATAATTCACAGCTGATACGGACAATTAAAAACAGAAATAAAAACAATAATATAAATATATAGGGACAAGCAGGTAATAGGTATGTGATTGCATGTGTGTGTGTGAGTCGGGCGAATTATCTGGTGATATGGCGGCGACATCCTCCCCCCGTTGAAAATTATAAAGTTTCAACTTCTTGTTCTAGTGGGAGCCGACACAATTTACCGACAGGTCTTTGCATTTCAGCTCCAGTAGTGGTACGTAGGGTCACTACACGAATGATACCATCGCCTCCGGGATGTACCTTGGTTACTCTTCCCAACTTCCATTTGGTCGGTGGAGTACAATCTTCTTTTATTATTACCACGTCATTTATGGATATTTCCCTTTTTGAGCTCAACCACCGTCCTCTAACTTGAAGTTGCGGCAAATACTCACTATACCATCTTCTCCAAAACATCTGCATTAGGCCTTGTACAAATTTCCAACGCTTCAAGTGTGCTACTTCATTTTGTGTTATCTGTGGTTCGGCTGGTAATAGTAGTGGACCCCCCACTAGGAAGTGGGCTGGTGTCAGGGCGTTTGGTTCACATGGGTCGCTATTCAATGGAGTCATAGGCCGAGAATTGACACACGCTTCGATTTGGCATAGTAGAGTTTGTAGCTCTTCGAGATTGAGCCGGGTGTCCTTGACGACACGAACTAAATGCGTTTTTACGCTTTTTACGGCGCTCTCCCATAAGCCACCGAAATGAGGGGCTGATGGTGGGTTGAAATGCCATTCTACTCCTTCCCGTGCCATGAGATCTTCAGTGTTCTTCACATAGTTGGACAACTCCTTTTGTGCGCCCACGAAATTTGTTCCGTTATCACTGTATATCTTCTTACATTTCCCACGTCTGGACATGAAGCGTCGCAATGATGCCATGAATGCGTCGCTTGTGAGCCCAAATACCGCCTCTAGGTGAATTGCTCTGGTTGCAAAGCATACAAACACTGCTATCCAAGTTTTTATCGCTGTTACTCTACGTATGCCACTTCGGATGAGTAAGGGTCCTGCGAAATCAACACCTGTTATTGTGAATGGTCTTGAAAATTGCACTCGATTCTTGGGCAAGGGTGCCATTACTGGGTTCTCGAATTGTGGCCTTGATCGAATACAGGTGACGCAGCGAGATGTCACCGACCGTGCCATTACTCTACCTCGTAGTGGCCAATAACGTTGCCGGACAGCGGCCAAGAGAGCCTGTGGGCCACAGTGATGCATGGCTCTATGTTGCTCCTCAAAGATTAGTCTTGTTACTTTGTGCCTTGAAGGTAATACTATTGGGTGCTTTTGGGTCTCAGCAATATCGGAATTCCCAAGTCGCCCTCCAACCAAAATTACTCCATCTTCACTAATAAACGGACACAAGGCTCTCAGAACGCTTCTTTTCTGAATTGACTTTCCTGCTAGGAGGTTCATGAGGTCTATTCCAAACTCGTCGGCTTGCGCTCCCTTTATTAGTCTACGTTCTGCTAAACGGATATTTGATACTGTAAGGTACCGTGGCAAACTGCTTCCTGTCTTCTTGGCTCGCTTAAACTCTATGAATTTTCCTAACTCTGTATTCTTATTCTTATTTTATTTTTATATACTTATTAAGGAATTTTGTTTCTTTTGAGAAAGGATGTACCTATATAAAATTTTTAATTTTTGTTTATTTTATCTTATATAATGTTGCTTTTTTAAATTACTTTATATTATTATTTCTTTATTACTACTATTATTATTCTATAACTATTGTTAACTCTCTACTCCATCACAAGCTTAGGCTTAAAGGAGTAGATACATTTTCTTTATTTATACTATAAATTGTACATTTAAAAAAAAAAAAAAAAAAAAAAATACATAGATGAGGTCGCCAAGACAATAATACAAATAAAATGTGACGTACGCAGTACGGAAAATACAAAAAAAGTGCGTGAGTGCTCGAACGAACGCGGGACAAAAAGCGGGCGGAGAAGTCGAGGGGCTCGGAGCGCCGGTTGCGGCGCGACGCTTTGCGTTCGAGCGCGGCGCGTAAAGAAAACGAGCTTATAGCGGCCGACGGCGCGCGCCGTGACCGTCTAAGGGCGAGTTGTTGCTGACGAGCGAGGCGGGGGCAAGTTCGATAATAAAACACAGAGAACATAAATATAAATACATAGATGAGGTCGCCAAGACAATAATATAAATAAAATGTGACGTACGCAGTACGGAAAATACAAAAAAAAGGCGCGTGAGTGCTCGACGAACGCGGGCCAAAAAGCGCGCGGAGAAGTCGCTGGGCTCGGAGCGGCGGTTGCCGCGCGACGCTTTGCGTTCGAGCGCTTCGGGTAAAGAAAACGAGTCTAAGACGGCCGACGCCGGGCGCCGTAGCCGTCTAAGGGCGAGTTGTTGCTGACGAGCGGGGCGGGGGCAAGTTCGATAATAAAACACAGAGAACATAAATATAAATACATAGATGAAATCGCCATGACAATAATACAAAATGAATAGTACAAAACAATTTAAATAATTCGAATACAAAAAATGGCGCGTGAGTGCGCGAACGAACGCGGGACAAAAAGCGCGTGGAGAAGTCGCTGGGCTCGGAACGGCGGTTGCGGCGCGACGCTTTGCGTTCGAGCGCGGCGCGTAAAGAAAACGAGTCTAAGACGGCCGACGCCGCGCGCCGTAGCCGTCTAAGGGCGAGTCGTTGCTTACAAGCGAGGCGGGGGCAAGTTCGATAATAAAACACAGAGAATATAAATATAAATACATAGATGAGGTCGCCAAGACAATAATACAAAATGAATAGTACAAAACAATTTAAATAATTCGAATACAAAAAATGGCACGTGAGTGCGCGAACGAACGAAGGACAAAAAGCACTCGGAGAAGTCGCGGGTCTCGGAGTGGCGGTTGGGGCGCGACGCTTTGCGTTCGAGC